ATAAATAAATACTTACCATTATAAAACATGAAGATCATCTATTAAACCTTTAGCTATAAAACCTATTATTAGTAGATTTTTTATGAATGACTTTAGGTATAAAATATGTTTTTTTTTTTTAAAAAAAAAAAAAAAAAACAAATATTAATAGCAAACAAGTTTTTTTTTTTCTTTTAGATTGATCTTATAGACATGCAAACAAGAAAGGATGGTGAATTTAAATAGATCGCATATGCCAGAGATCATTTCTCATATTTTTTCTAGGCCCATGATCTTACAAACAAATATGCAGCAAAAGTGGCTATGTTTTTGTTTGACATCTTTACTGTATTTGGTCTGCTGATCTTTCTACAAAGTAATAATAGGTGTGAATTCACAGCAGATATTATTAACAATCTTACAAAACTTTGGCCAAATCTTAAAATCATTCATGGAAAGTTACGAAGACCACAAACCCAAGGTTCAGTTGAAAGGGTGAATCATATATTGAAAGATAAACTTGGGAAGTGACTTGAAGATCGTCAAAATAAAAATGAAGATTTATGTTGAACAGTTGGTTTGGCAACTGTAGTTTATTCAATGAATTTATTCATATGTTATGCTATAAAAAAAGACTATTTGAGTTAGTTTTTGGTCATGAACCTCATAGTTATTGTGTTCTTATTGATTAGCTTTGGTCCCAGGGAATTCGATATAAAGAAAATATTCCTGATGACGTTCAAATTGAAGATAATATTCCATCTGATGATGAAGATAACGTTCAAACTGAATATTATGATGATGAATTTAATAAAAATTTGATTCAAAATCTGTCACAAAATGAGAATAATGATAGAGATAGTATGTTTTTTATAATGGTAAGTATTTATTTATTCTATTCGAGAAGGAAATTATTAAAATTCTCAAATTTATCTGTGGATTTTAGAATTCCCCATCAACTAATAGTATGTTGCAATACATGGCAAGTATTAAGCATCAAAAAGTGAAAGCACTTAAATTCTAGAATGTAAAATTATTCAAATTTTTTTAGGATTTCTTGTCACCATCACCTAACATGATAGTAAGTATAGAATTAAAGGTTTAATAGTTGTAATTAAAATGTGAAATTGTTCTTTAACAAAAAAAAAAAAATCAGCATTCTTTGTTACTGCTACTGCCTAACATGATAGTAAGCATTAGAATTGAAGTATATATAATTGTAATTAAGTTAAAATGTGTAATCATTCAACAAAATAATAATAATAATAATTCAAGGATTCATCGTTGTCACCACTACTACCTAATATGATAGTAAGCATTAGAATTGAAGTATATGTAATTGTAATTAAGTTAAAATATGTAATCATTCAACAAAATAATAATAATATTAATTCAAGGATTTGTCGTTGTTGCCACTGCCACCTAATATGATGGTAAGATTAAAATTAAAGTATATGTAATTGTAATTAAGTTAAAATGTGAAATCGTTTTTCAAAAAAAAAGATTCAGAATTCGTCACCGCTACCTAATATGATGGTAAGTATTAGAATTAAAGTATATATAATTGTATCTAAGTTAAAATGTAAAATTGTTCTTAAAAAAAATTCAGAATTCATCGCTGTTGCTGCTGCCACTTCCTAACATAATGGTAAGTATTAGAATTGAAGTGTATATAATTGTATCTAAGTTAAAATGTGAAATTGTTCTTGAAAAAAAAAATTCGGAATTCGTCATCATCACTATCACCACCTAACATGATGGTAAATGTTAGAATTAAAGTGTATATAATTGTATCTACTGGTAAGTAAAAATGTGAAATCATTATTAAAAAAAAAATTCAGAATTCGTCGATATCGCTACCACCACCTAATATGATAGTAAGTATTAGAATTAAAGTATATATAATTGTATCTAAGTTAAAATGTAAAATTGTTCTTTAACAAAAAAAAAAAAAATCAGAGTTCTTTGTCACTGCTACTACCTAACATAATGGTAAGTATTAGAATTAAAATACAGCACACGAAAAAAAGCTCCTACCCCTCATCACCCTTTTCATAAATAGTTAATATATAGTTTATATTTTCTAATAAAATAAAAAAAAAAATTAAAAATATAAAACCGTTTTTAAAAAAAAAAAAAAAAAAAAAAAAAAAATCAGAGTTCTTTGTCGCCGCTACCATCTAACATGATAGTAAGTATTAAAATTAAAGTGTATATAATTGTATCTAAGCCTAAATGAAAAATGATATTTAAACTTTTCGAAATCTTAGGTCTTGCTGTCGCTATATAATATCATAGAAAATATAGTAGGTATCGAATGTAAACTAGCACTTAGTTAAAATGTCTGCTTACATGTCTTTGAAATTTTAGATTTTGTCATCGCCATCACCTAACAAGAATATGGTAAATATTAAGTATAAATTATTATTTCGATTTAAAAATAATTTACTATACTCTCCTTACTTCAGGTTTCGCCACCGTTGCCGCCTAATGAAAATATGGTAAATATTAGTAAGCAATAATTTTCAGATAAGAAATGATGAGTTTTTTTGATTTTGAAAAATTAACTGAGTATAATTTGAAATTTCAGATCTTACCAATTTTGCTGTCACCACCTAATATCGTATCAAATGTAATAAGTAACGTAGTAAATAATAAATAAATATTTTAATCAAAAAATAATAACTTCGGAATTTTAGGTTTCTCAACCTGCACCTAGTGCTGCAAAAAATATAGCAAGTATAATTTGAACATTTTAAATGTGGATATTATATATAAATGTTAAATATATTTTTAGTAATTTTTATGTTTTATTTATTTATCTTTTATTTATTTATTTTTTTCATCATTTTTATTTATTTATTTTATCTTTATTTTTTATTCTATTTATTTTTATTTATCTTTTACTTTAAATTGATTATTTATTCTTGAGGTTGCCATTAAGTAATATGACTGTGAGAATAGTAAGTATTTGATTAGTAAAATTAAAGTAAAAGGTAAATATATTTAATAAGTACTAATATTTTTTTTGTTTTTTTCAAAGAATTAAGATTCATACCTTTTTTCGTCTTTTTATACAACTCAAAACATCATAGAAGCTGAAGCTATTAATCATTTAGAAGTTTATATGGAAAAAATGAGGGCACAAATAGAAAAAGGAAGAAAACATCTACGAAGATTTGAAAAAAATGATCTGGTTCAGATTCAAATTTCTGAAGTTGATCGTGCTGGTATTGATCGATGATACATACCTTGTAAAGTGTTAGAAATTACTGTGAATGATACATATATTTTAGGATGCCAGTATAGAAGGTTAAATGAGCATTATTCTGCTATTAAATTGGTTCCTATATCTGGAACGTTTAGAGAATACCTAGAGCTTATTGTTATTTCCGAGATTTGTGTAAGTGCCTATAAAGCTGTGATATAGCAAAGTTCTGGATCTATAATGCAACCAAGTGTCTTTGCAAAAGCAATTGTTTAAAAAACTATTGTAAATATAAAAAGGCAGGTGCAACTTGTAGTACTCATTGCCATCCAAATAATGTTCAATGCAAAAATCATTAAAATTACAATTTTTTATATTAGTTATAATAACTAATATATAATTTTTTTTTTTAACATTCAGCAGTCATGCCGTAACTTTATTTAGATTTGTTTTATATGAAAAACAACATTATAT